CGCCGGCACCGCCCGGACATCCCCGCGCGGTTCCATCCCCGACTGCACTTTCATCCCGCCATCGGCTCGGACCGAGCGACCAGGGAAGGCGCCTTTTACCCCTGGGGTTCGACAGCCTCCTGAACACTGAAGACCTGGAAGCGTTTATTAGCTTATTCTCAGGAGCTCTGTACCATCCTCAGCACAGAGAAAGAACTGGATGCTTGACATCCGCTTACACTGGAAATGGTCGCTAGTTATATTGTAACGAGGCTGTTATAAGTTAATGCTTAATTTGAACCTAAGGAAAATTGTAGGTAGAAAGAACGTCATCCAGCAGCACGTGTTGCACTCTTCAGAAGATCCTTATCAATAATCAACTTCAAAATACAGGTGGAAAAGAATTTCCATCTTCTTAAAAAGTTTTTTCTTAAATATAACAATACATGGAAAACACATCAAATCCGTAGGGTCTTTCTTAAGTAAATGTCCAGTGCAGAAACCATTTCTAATTAATAAAAGAGGCAAAAGGCTCAATCCTTAGGAAGGCAGCTACTGTGGAGAACATTTTGGGAGCGTAACACTTTTGCTTACAGTTTAATGACAGTAGCATCATTTCTCCTTCAGGGCCAGATCTTCATCCTTTAGGGCAAATTTTCTTCTCAGAACTTCTGCTATAAGAACAGCCGGGTCTTCCTCCTTCATTGAAGTTCGGGTTCTATGTGGAAGACAAAAGCACAGCGTATCAGCAGAGGAAAGTGCCAAAATCGATGGCTTACAGCTCTACTTAAGAGTCTTTTAAAGTATTTTTCTGCAGCCTTTACCATCAGCTTTTGTCACAAGTGGAGGAGGTGCAAGAACACCACCACAAACCAACAAAAAGCAGCTAAAAATTCAGACCTTTCCTGTTGGCTTAGAAAACCTGGAGCTCATTCTGTGGATCAAGGGGTAGCCCAAAAATCTCAGCATCAAAGCTCTTGGTAATTTTTATTCAAATGTGTTAACAACAAGTAAGTAAAATAAAATTTCATTAATTATTTACAGACTATGTCCCCTCAATATAAATCAACAAGTGTTTGAGTTGAAGTCCTGGAAGTATTTTTTTTTCATGAATTTTGCTATACAATGGATATGTGCTTTCATATTTAAATATGGGTAATTACAGGTATGTTAAAGGAGGGCTGGCACCCACTCCCCTCCGCTTAGCTACTGCGCACAAGTTTTTCTGTAACATCCTATTACCAAAGCATCCTGCCTCGTTTAACAAGTTCGGACAAGCGGCTCACGTCGGAAGTGATGAGTTTATTTTACAGGAAGCCAAAACCCAGTTCTTTTTCCTCAGGTTATCACGACTTGCTCACTAAGCTTTTGTTTAGAACCTGTAATAATAATTTCAGAGCTTAACTTTTTCTTTTTTTAAAATAGCTGAAGTTCTCCCTTGGTCATTCCTGAAGCTTCCAATGTTCTGTTTAAGCACCAAGTCCTAAAGAGGGGCATCAGAGAAGCATCTACATAGTTATCTCCTTAAGCATCATTCATCCACTTAACGAGTACACAATCCTTTTAAGTGTTACACTAGCGCAACGGCTCCGCATAACCTAACAGCACATCCGCAAGGTGAGCACAGCTGTAGAAGCACGGGGCTGCTCATAAAACCACATTGACACTAGAGGATTGTGCCTAGGAATTAAAGCTCACCAAGTAATGAACATCAGTGATTTATTTAATGTAATTATTCAACTACCTGTGACTCTTCAAACGGCTTTAATTAAGCCGTAACAACCGTATCCTAAAACGTCATTGTTGCATGTAGGAGGCAAGTTAGAGGCTGAGATAGAGAAATGGATGAGAGGAAACCGGTTCAGCTCCAGCAAGGAAGAGTCTGGAGCTTTTCTATCAGAGTTCCTGGCCCTGAGGCAAGCAGCAGCCGCATGAGGGGGACCCAGCTCCCAGCTAATCTGCAAAGCTGTCGCAAGGGGAGAAAGGGCTCCCGGGGATTCAGGTCCTTTGCCTGCTGTACCCCAGCGAGGAGGGATCTGGCAGCTATCCCCTTCCCCTAGGTATTCTACAGTACAGAATCCTGGCCCTCCCCCACCTCCTGTAACGTTAAAAAGCATCGACGCTGTCGGTAAATCCCTGCTTTGTGCACAAGCCATCTCTCCCTCCCACTCATTCATACAGCTCCTCTCCCAGGGCAGCAGCAAGATCAAACACCTTCGTCCATCGTTAGCTGTTCTCATGCATTCTCTTGAGGAAATTAAAGTAAAATTGCGACCCACTATATTGCAACGCTCCCTGTCCCCTACACGCTGCTTCTCACAGCCTCCCCCCAGTCGCCCTGGCTCCTCGTGATGCGGCCAGTGCTGGCAGAGGCCTTGCTGGCATGTCCAGGCGTGGGTAAGAAATGCCTCGGATATCCCTACCATCATCTGTATTTGTACAAGTGGTTTTTCTTTCCCCCTGAATAGCGCACGTTTCCCTACCTTCATCTGGCACAGATGGTGGCGGTTTTCTTACCCTGAAAAGCCTGCTTCTGTAGAAGGCTGATGTACCGGTCTGTGCTAATTAGAAGACTGATAATTACATTGTTACACGTGAGTGATTAGTCCTAAAGATACACGCTTCTGATAAAGTTAAAGCATTACATGTCACAGCCTGAAGCACCTGCAAGCTTTTCTGGATTTAACGGAGCCAGCGAATGACCGTTAGAATGGCACAGTTCTACCCCCAACACGTACGTTACCCAAGGCCTAACCCAAACCTCTGCTGAGCCAGCGTGGCCGAGTTGCACACAACAGCAGGTGTTCTTCTTGAGAATTCTAACAATTCAGAACTATTTTTGGATGCCCGAAGCCCTGCTTTGCAACAGAGAGGAAGAAAGAAGAGGAGCAATTCGTCTGTGGTCCATGAATTCCACTCGTCCCCAAGATTAAAGGCATTTACATAAAGCAAATCAGCGTTTAAGCTTTGAGTAATATTTAGCACTTAGGAAAACAAGAGCAAAAGGGTATGCTGAGTGCCTTATGGATGTGTACTACCCTGCTGGCATTCTGGATGCAAGCTGAACATATTTCTCTCATTTGACTACCTAATTTTTTCAGTGCCGAGAATTTAATTTCTTTTAAACTGAATTAGGCATGGAAATTGCGAACAGCCATCACACAACGTGTTATTTTTGGCCAGGAATCTTACACAACATAATGGCTGGATAGATCTTTGGGTTGGAAAATGCGGAAACTGAACTTTGTCACTGTGATTTCACATGTGAAGCGAAGGCAGTGCAGCTGACATTCGAGAAGTGACTTTATCAGCTGGGCAGAGTCTCAGCCACACAGCAGCTGGCATGTCAGCAGCTTGAGGCCTTCTCATGATCAACGTGTAAACTCCTCACGAGACAAGTGAAAACTCACCCTGCCCACGCTCAGAGCTGGGCCAGATGCAAAAGCTGAGAAGCCATAAAGCTCCGCATGCTAATTCCTGCATGTGCCACACTGAAAAAGCTCCTGAGCTTCCCAATCACTTGGGTCTGCAAGATGGTCTAAGCACCAGCACCTGGAACCGCTGCAAGCAGAGAGAGCAGCGGGCCCCGCGCCCCCCGCTCTGACGGCTGCCAACATCTACGGTTCTGGTTTTCATCTGGGCAAATGCAAGGGTTTTTTTCAGGTGAACAAGCTGAAGCAGCCAAACATTGGGCTAATCGGGTGAAGTTCTCCTCCACCGCTTTCTATCTGAGCAGGTAAGCCATCATTAAAAAAAAAAAACCCTAGAAACATTACGTGTTAGCAAGTTCTGCTATAAACGGGTACTTCCCCCCTGTGAATCACGAATATAAAGCAGCAGCAACAAGCAGTGAATGGAATGTCCAGTGCCTACAGTGATTTGACAGACAAAAGAAGAGATAAAATAGAGAGTTCAGGAAGCACTTACAGGTCTTTGCTCTGCTTCATCCTATGAATGTCTTTAAGAATGCCCATCATATCAGCAAAGCTGCTGGCCTTTGAGAGAGACACAGAATCTTCCTCCTCAGGATCCTTTGGTTCTGGTTTACAACACTCAGAGGTTGCAGAACAAAGCAGGGAGACTGATGGGAGCTCGGGGCTTTCGAGTTCTGCCTCCTCCTCTGTGATATCGCTAATGACAAAGGAAGTTGTGGATTGGAAAGAGGGTCCAAAACAAGGTAAAGGAGAAGATGCATTTGAACTTCCTGGAGATAATAAATCTGGTGTTAATGAAGCAGAAGCTGAAAGAGAAAACAATATATGTGGATAGATAAACTAATACCAAACCATGTAGGGCTTTTTTTTTCCCGCCAAACCAACAGAATATAAATCAAGAGGCATCATCAGCCAGCCTCCTCCCATGCTATGAGAAAACAGATCCATCATATTCTGCTACCCTCCCTGTCTGCTCTGCTTCCCATGACACCATGTTGCAACACAAGACCATTTCCAGTACCTGTTATCCCACCAACCCCCGTACACATCGCTATCCCTATCGTGTCCGTCACGGTATCACCCCTCCAGTTCAAACACTGCGCCCCATCCCTGCAGAAGTCAGGTAGTGTTTACTTTTTCCATTTTTACAGGTAGGAAATGGAGGAACACATTTAGCTGCTGCTCAGGATCACAGAGAGAGCCTGCGTCAGAATGTAAGTCTTGACTGTCTTAACTTTTCTCCTCTTCTTCATCCCCTTGAGAACTGTTTGCCTTTCTTTTCCTTTCAGGCTCCTTCCCCCATAAGCATTATGCCTGGTGAGAATGGAGAGCTGGGTCGGGAGCTCCGGCATTTTACACTAGACGGTCACAGCAATTCATTCTGTGACTGCAGGCATTTTGACCCGTTTTGCTTTCCATCACCATCTGGGAAATGAGAATAGCATCCACCTATTCCACAGGGAAGATGGGATTTCTTTGTTCATGCTTTAAAATGCAGTGAGGATAAGAACAGCTACACAAATTCCGAGTGTTATTAAGTGAAAATCAGTTAGATATTTCCAGTGTAAAACACTAAGGGAAAACAACCAAAAACCCAGAAAAATGCTTTGTGCACATCTCCTTGAAAGAACCTTTCTGTGCTGAAAACAAACCGTACCTTAAAGCACTAATGCCCTTGGCCTCAAGAGTAAACTTGTAGATAGTTATCAATTTCCAATTAGGGGATTTCTCTAACAGTATATAATAAAGCAGATTGCACAATATTTCTTTTTCTACATCAATCTTTCCAAAATAAGCCTGCTAAATAGTTATCTCCTTCATCAGATTACCGAGCTACGGCTAGGCCCTAAATCACGGCTCCCCGTTATTGACTTAGAGGACGCAAAGTCAATACGAACTGTTCTCAAATGCCAGCTGATAACAACCAGGCGCACTGCTGAGTAGAGAGGGAGGGAAAAAGGTATTGAACGATTCAATCAGTTTTTTCTCCCATCTGGATCTCTAATTTTCCTCCCTGTTACTCTCCCTGAATTAAACCGGACTCTTCTAGCACACAGCTTGAGCAACTGTAGAGCTGAGACAGAAGGAAAAAAAAAAATCACAGGATTGCCCCTCTTCTTTATTTCTCTGTGGTTGTTCCTCTGATCTTGCAGAAAGAAGAAAGAGGACACACGCAGCCTCTCTGAAGGGGACATCTGCGATGCCTCGTTTTACGCCTATTCCCTGCAGAGTTGAAGGGACGCAGCTCCCTCACCCCCAGGGTGGTTTCATTCTACCGTGCTGAGGCAAGAGTTGAGGCACGTGGCACACGGGATCCCACGTGCCGTGACATGAGCAAAGGTGACAAGAAACACCAGCACGTGCAATTATCCCACAACAGCCCTTCACCAGGGAAGTGAAGAAATACCTCATCTCATCTAAATACAACTTCACGTGCTAAAAACACCGTATATACTCTCATGTGGTGGCACATATATTTACACTATCGATATAAAATAGATTCTTAGAGTCCACTGACCATCACACAGAACTGAAGAACCCCAAATCTCTCACACAGAAACAAGCATTCAACTAAAACCACCACAACTCTGTTTCACGTTTAAATGTGTTTATGGCTTGTGGATAGCCGGACTAAATATACGCAGTCGTTACAGCTGCAAGTCCCTCAGGGCTACAATCATCAGACAACCACGTCGTCTTTTGCAGATCATGAGAAATTTGGTCTCGTGCACACACTATACAGCGCAGCACAAAGTAGCAATCTGGGAATTAAAAAAAACATTTGCTTTCAGACGCAGGTTAAGGAAGGTTTCATCAGCCACTATTACCCATCATAAACAGGAATTAACCAGCCTGACGTGATTTCAAGTGCGGCACAATCTTGCCTTGTTTTTTTTTTTTTAAAGCAATGGGAAGAATTATAGGTCCATCTTTTCCTCTGGAAAGCAGCCATAGCACAGCTGCCATCCTGGTTATTGGCAGAAGTCTTCTGCGTACAAGATCTGCAGCTTTTAAGAAAAACTGTCTTCAAGAAGGAGTAAATTCCTTTAGTCTGAAAAACTGTTCAATGTTTTTGCATTGGGAGTTCAACATCTCTGCCTTCTGAACACTCCTTAAATAGATACCAAGGTATTTCTATCTTACTGGTTTCCACACTCTAAACCAGCCACTGTTGCAGCAAGCCTCACAGAACCACTGAGGTTTGGATCCTACCAAATATCTTCGTATTTTCAGGGCTGAGGATACAGAAAAAGCCATAAAACGCAGAGAAGTCCTTCCTCACAGTTCAGTTTCGCAGCTAAAACATGGCTTTTAGTTGCATACAAATTTACTGAAGAATAGCCACGAGCAGGTCGAAAGCTTACGGGTAAGAATCAGAGAGAGAGGCAACAAAGGGAACCTGGTGGTTGGTGTCTACTACAGGCCGCCAGATCAAGAGGAGACGAGCGACAAAGCGTTCTTCCTCCAACTCCGGGAGGCTTCGCGCTCGCAGGCTCTCGTCCTCCTGGGGGACTTCAACCACCCCGACATCTGCTGGAAAACCAACACGGCAAGCTGCAGGCAATCCAGCGGGTTTCTCAAATGCATTGAGGACAACTTCTTAAGCCAGGTAATAGACACCCCTACCCGAGGGGATGCGATACTGGACCTGGTGGTCACCAATGCAAGCGAGCTCGTTGGAGATGTCCAGATCGGAGGCAGCCTGGGCTGCAGTGACCACGCGCTGGTGGAGCTCACGCTCCTAAGGGAAATGACAAGAACAAAGAGTATAGTCAGGACCCTAAATTTTAGAAAAGCAAACTTCCAGCTCCTCAAGGAGATAGTCAGAAGAACTCCCTGGGAAACGGTCCTCAGAGACAGGGGAGCAGAACAGAGCTGGCGGATCTTTAAGGATGTGATCCACAGAGCGCAAGAGCTCTCGATCCCTAGCTGTAAGAAATCAGGAAAAGAAGGGAAGAGACCGGCGTGGCTGAGACAAGAGATGCTGGTCGAACTAAGGAAGAAGAGGGAACTGCACAGGCAGTGGAAGCAGGGACAGGTATCCTGGGAAGAATATAGGGAAGCGGTCAGGTTGTGTAGGAATGGGGTCAGGAAGGCCAAGGCGCAGCTGGAACTGAACTTGGCTAGGGATGCGAAGAATAATAAGAAGGGTTTCTACAGGTATATCAGCCGGAAAAGGATGGTTAAAGAAAGTGTACCCCCACTGATGAGCAAGACTGGCAGGCTGGTAACAGCAGATGAGGAGAAGGCTGAGGTACTCAACGACTTTTTTGCCTCAGTCTTCACTGGCAACCTCTCTCCTCACCCCTCCCGAGTCGATGGATGGCATGAGGGGCACCGGGAGGGCAAAACCCCTCCTGCTGTAGGAGAAGACCAGGTTCGTGACCACCTGAGGAACCTGAATGCACACAAGTCCA